CTGAAGGAATTTAAAATAATTTCTGTACAACATGCCATCATGAAAGAACCCAAGTAACAATTTTGTTTTTATGAGGGTTCTGTAGATCATGATTTGGACTTGTAGAATGCTATAAAACCTCGATAAAACCTGCAATGTTCCTTGGGAATACTAGTATAGTACTACCAACAATCAATACGAAACTAACGATTTAAAATTGGCTCACTACTTGACTAGCCTATTGGTCCCAATAAAACGGTTAACGTACCTATTCTAGTCGAAATTTTACTACTACACAATGTTTGTTTTGATTCGCTATGAAAGTTTGACAGATAAAATAAGGGGTGAGTGGATTTTCCTATGTTTTGAGGGGTGCATCGATTAGCTTGGGACCGAATAGAGTACCAGAGCTGAGCCAAAAAGATGAGCACGTTTCTTCGGGACCTTCTGGTCTAAGAGTTACTTCTATGGTTCTACCACAAACGAAGTGACAGACTGTGAAAACTTTGGTGACCAACCTGCTATTGCAATTTTTCAGGCTAGGTCAACCCTACTACCATAGAGGTAACTCTAAGACTAGTAGGTCCCGAAGAAACGTGCTCAACTTTTTGGCTCAGCTCTGGTACTCTATTCGGTCCCAAGCTAATCGATTCATCCTTCGAAACATAGGAAAATCCACTCACCCCTCATTTTATCTGTCAAACTTTCATAGCGAATCAAAACAAACATAGTGTAGTACTGGAATTTTGACTAGCATGGCGTACGTTAATCGTTTGCTTGGGATCAATAGGCTAGTCAAGTAGTGAGCCAATTTAAAATCGTTAGTTTCGTATTGATTGTTGCTACTACTGGATTGCACTAGCATTTTCACCAAATCTAGAAAGAGCTGGAATTAGGGCGTAACAGCCTTTGTAAACAATGACTTCTTTCGTTGATTTCTCGGAATTCAAGTCACGCGTACACAAACTAACATAACCATCGGGTAGAGGAAGTCTTCCTCTACTCGATGGTGATGTCGATTGCCAGGGAGAGCCATGGCTTACGAGAAATCATCGAGAGAAGTCATTGTTTACAAAAGCTGTTACGCCCTAATTCCAGCTCTATCTAGAAATGTACTAGAATGTTTTGGTTCTATCCCTTTCACTCAACTCAAAACTGAAAACACTGTCAAAGATTATTACACAAGAGGCGTTGGTGGTGTAGTGGTAAGCGTGAATTACCTCACACCCCAGCAGGCCTGGGTTCAATCCCAGTCGGCACCGCCGGGATGTTCTGATGCATAACATCTCTGATCACAGGTAGGGTCCAGGTGTGGGAGCTGCCTCCCTGGCGTCGGCGTCAAATCAAGGAAAAAAAGATTTGCACAGCCGAGCTCGGTAGAACAAACTAAGAGTGTAGATCTATAGAATAATGCCTGATCAGTTTTAACTCTTGGAAAAATATTCAGAGGGCTTTCATAAGATCTTTAGGATCCTGAAGGTCTTTGAAATAATTTCTGAGCAACCTGTTATCATGAAACAATATCCGAGAAACATGATTTGAATTGATTAACTGTTCTAGATCTTTAAGATAATACCTTATCATTCTGAAGACTTGGTAAAATCTTCAGAGGACTTCCTTAAGATCTTTGTAATCCTGAAGGTCTTTGGAATAATTTCTGAGCAACCTAGTATCATGAAATAATATTTGAGCGACGTGATTCGAATTGTTGAACAGTTCTAGATCTTCAGTATAATGCCTGCCCAACAAACGATTTGAGCTGAATAAAGGCGAATTAGCTATATTTTACCTGAAGAAGCATATTTTTACTTAAATAAGCTCTTATTTAGTGTTTAATGTTTGTTGGGTGATCATCCTGACGTATTGGAAAAAATATACAGAGATTCTTAATAAGATCTTTGGAATCCTGAAGGTCTTTGGAATAATTTCTGAGCAACCTAGTATCATCACAGAATATTTGAGATACGTGATTTGAAATTTTGGACAATTCTAGATCTTCAGAATTATGTCGATCAACCTGAAGTCTCGGACAAATATGCAGAGGTCCATATTAAAACCTTCAAAATTCTGAAATATTTGCACTGATTTTGTTGCTGTTTATTTTTTCTCTGTTCGGAACCTAACACTACTGTGACCGGTTAATTGATCTATTGTAGTATATCCCGCGTCCTTAGTTTAGTGCATGTCGTATTACTCCATCACTATTGAGAAATGATGAAGTATTCGATTTTTTAACAGTTGTCATTCTTGCATTTATCGCAAGGATCCGACTCTAATTGAAAGGTCCCGCTATTTATACCTTTCGGAGTGTTCAAACGCCCTCCAAAGGCACGCCCCTTTTTCAGTCAAAATTGGATTCTTTAGCAACAAAATTAAGCAACGACACTGATAATGACCATGCATCAGAACTCTAGTCTTAACCAAAATAGGGAACAACTAATAGAAGATTCGGAATCACATAGATGAAGACTTACTAACTCATTTTTGCCTTGTTTCAAGATCATCCTCGGTGCACAAAGCCGAGTCTTGTCCCTATAGGCTCTTTCCATGCACCATCAATGTAGAGTGCGATAGCCAATTTTTAAAGAAAATGTCATCCAATCCATTTGTTTACATCGGATTGACGATTTTCAAAACTCAAGACAATAAACATTTTATTGCACAACTTGCAAATTTCCATCGGGAGTGGTCGTATTTTTCGATTATCTACAGATCTGAACCACACATTAAAAATCCGGAAGATCATAACCGCTGGGACAATTTAATAAATCTTAAATTTCTCATCAAAAATATATGGAAGCACCAGCCAAATCACTGCAAACCCGATACAGAAAACAAAATATTCCACGTGGATGATGATTTCAAGCACCTGCGGTGGATAAACTAATCAGGAAAGGTGAAAATATTGTCCTCTTCCTATGCTTCACGGTGAAAATTTCCACCCTCATCACTCTTTTGAGGGTTCCCCTAATAACCGCCAGAGGCTGAAACGATCGCTTAGTTTCTTTTGGATTCGCCTATCAGCAAGGCATAAAAAGTAGCAAGGACTAAGATGTGTTCCTTTGATTACTGAAAATTCCTGTTGCCCTAGTTTCCCAAGTAACAATTTTGGTTTTATAAGGATTTTAAAGACCGAGATTTAGACTTGTAGCATGCTTTAAAACCTCGATAAAACATGCAATGTTACTTGGGTTACCAACTAGTCATGACTAGGATTCTGTGGTAGATCTTACATCCCGTAACGTACCACGAAAAGGTGATCTACCTACGTTACGGGCATTTTGTTGCTTATGCAGATGTGTGTGTGTGAGAGCAGTGATAGAAGATTTTTGTTTGGCTGCCTACTTTTCAAAAATCTCGGATTTTCTCTTATACATCGAAATCGGCGTATTAAATTGAAATTCGAGATTGAAATTGAGGATAATACCACAGACAAACAGACATAACACATTGAATATTTCTCACTGTAAAACATCGTCGCTAAAACATTACCGCCATCTGTTGAGTGCACTGTGGTGGGCACTACGCTGAACAGATGGCGATAGTGTGTAAACGTCAAACGCAAGGGAATTGACTATGCGCGCCACATGTGGCGGTACTACCAACTACGATACTTTTAAATTGTCCGTTAAATGGTTGTTCGATCAACAACTTGCGAGAGTTATGTCTGTTTGTCTGTGATAATACCATAGAAGTAACTCTAAGACCAGATGATCCCGAAGAAACGAGCTCAACTTTTTGGCTCAGCTCTGGTACTATCTTCGGTCCCAAGCTAATCGATACACCCCTCGAAGCATAGGAAAATCCACGAACCCCTCATTTTACCTGTCAAACTTTCATAGCGAATCAAAACAAACATAGTGTAGAACTAGAATTTTGACTAGAATGAGGTTGCTTGGGACCAATAGGCTAGTCAAATAGTGAGCCAATTTGAAATCGCTAGTTTCCACCGGTTTGTAGTAGTGTTTCCATGTGATACACTAAAACATTGTAATAGCAGGTTCGTCACCGAAATTTTAGAGCCGCTCCGTCTGTCACTTCGTTTGTGCTTTGCAGACTGTCAAAGATCATTGCACACAAAATCAACTTTGTTCAAATCAAAACAAAAATACTAGCCCATCTGGTGGTCGATGGTACAAGCACAGACAAACAGACATAACACATTGAGTATTTCTCATTGTAAAACATCGTCGTTAAAACATATCCGCCATCTGTTGAGTACACTGTGGTGGGTAGTACGCTGAACATATGGCGGTAGTGTGAAAACGTCAAACGCAAGGGAATTGAATGTGCGCGCCACAGGTGGCGGTACTACCAACTAAGATACTTTTAAATTGACCGATAAATGCTTGTTCGATGAACATCTTGCGAGTGTTATGTCTGTTTGTCTGTGGTACAAGCTTCTAAGAAAATTCTATTACAGTGAACCACATTATTTTAATTGATTTCTTCGCCAGTTAGTCGTCTGTCACTTCGTTTGTGATATTAGTATAGCATTTCCTCCCAATTCTGAAAATCGTAAGCTTCACGTATGAAGTGCAAAACACTTTGATTGAATTGAAAATCATTAATTTTTTTTGTGTTTTTCAGTGAATGTAATTCACATTCACTGAAAAACAATGGTGGGTTCTGTCCGCTCTAGTTCGTCATGCACAAGAGAAACAGATTTGAGTTATTGGAAACAGTTGTAGCTAATATCAAAACCATTAAATGCTTCATACATCTTTTTACGGAATTCTGTTGATGAAAAAATTTAGAGGCAATTGAATTTGAATGATTTTCCATGATATGGAAAATAAAGTTTTGCTTAACGGGTGCAATGGTTGTTATAAAAAAATAACACACAATAACAAACACACTTACTTACCTGTTGGCTCGATGGCAGTTCAAAAGTTTTCAACCGTAAAAGTGATTGTCCCTCTGAAAAGTGCAGAAACAATACCGTCAGCAACACAAAAGAAATAAAACACACAGTCACAGCTGAAGCTCATTATCGCTTTATTTGGAGGATCATTCGAACGCACAAAATTTAACCAATTATATTTCGGGAAATAATTACGCAGCTTCTTTCCGTCGTCCCCTCGGAAGCACATACCAACTGAACTCTACAATGTCCTATCAGTTTTTAATTACCGCATTTTTACCTACAGCTACTCGGAAAAGCATATTTAATTCATTTTGTTATGAGCATTTGCAGTGATTTAATGATATGTTTGTCTTTGCTTTCATTTCAACCTACACAGCAAAAAAATAAAAATTACCATCACATCAAAGAGGATGCACGTCAACCCCGTAGAAAATATAATGTCATGAAAGGAAAAATGAGCATTCCGGCAGCGAGATGGGATTGAACACATCAATGTCTATTTGCTTTTCATATTTTCCTGATTTCCGTTGGCTACGGTATTACATTCGTATTTAGGTGCGTGATGTTTTTGCTGTGTACCGTCGATAAATTGCAGGTTAAGCAGATAAAGCCGTCATCGGTGCCGCCATTGTTGGAGATTCATTTGCAGGACTTTATTCCGGTGGCAGTTACAAATAATGGAAATTGTTTAACAATTCCCCAAAGAAAATCCCATTCCCAGTATGCGCCCATCAACGGGAGCCGGAAAATTTAATTACTCAATTCCAATGGAGCATACTGCGGTGGGCTTTGAGTGAACCTGCAAATTGAAATATTTTACCCAAAATAAAAATTTATTTCAAAAAAATCCATTCCACCCTCATACACTTACCCAGGACGGTCAGCTTGGCCCCGGCCCGAATCGGTCGATTGTGTTTGGCCGGTCCCGCCTGACACTGGTAGCTGGCCGCGTCCTCCATCGAAGCGTTGGTGATCCTCAGGTTAAACACTCCGGTGCTGTGGTTCTGATTCAGCGAAAACCGCGGATAACCGATAATTTCGTTGCTGAATCCGAGAGCGAACCCATCCTTGGTCCACTGCACCCGCCCGGCAAGGTGTTCGATTTCGCAACGTAGCACCACTTCCTCCCCTTGGCGGGCTTCCACGTCGTTGGGGGTGATGCGAAATGCTTGCTGCTGTAGCTCACCGAGGACCCGCGATGTGGGTGGGGTGATGATGCACCAGAAAACTGCAAGAACATCGAGAAGGTTGGTGGTGGAAAGCAGCGGAGTTGTAATGATTGACTGCGGCGGTAGACGGAACATTGGAAAATTATCTGCAATCACCGGTCAGACGCGCGTGACGGGGAGGGGTAGACGTTGGCACAGAAATTGTGTTCAGTTGTTTTGTAATACCTTAAAGTCATCGTGTAAAATTATGGGAATTGAGCATATCTAATGAATTATCAAAAGAAAGATTGATAGACCTGACCCACAATGGTAAAACAGAATAATTCGCCATTAAACATGTAGGGAGATTTACGTATTCTCGTCGGTCTAAACAGTGTCTATACTTCTAAGGTCCACATTAATCCGGACACCTTCAAATCACTGTAACTTATGAAATATTGCACGTAGGCGTGAAACATTTCGCTGAGATAAAGCTGGGAGTCATTGCTGAAAAAGACTGTGATTGGTATTTACATTCCATGTTTAGTGTTCAAGATGGTGTCGAATGAAAAACACATGCGCGAGTGGATTTTGTACGGGAGCTTGCGAAAAAAGGATTTACCTAAATCCACTGTTCACGGTGTGCTCAAATCATTTTCGGAACATTTAACGGTCGAGAGGAAACCGAGAAGTGATAAAAACATTGGACGTGCTGATCCTGTTATGGACAGAAAGGTGAGGAGGATATTGAAGGAAACCCCGAATCTCTCTGTTCGAACGGTGCACAGTTGGCAAAATGAACAAAACCGCGACTAAATGGGATATCTCGGCTGCCAAACGGTTTTACATATTTTCAAAGAAAAAAAACTCTGCTGAATCGATTGGTGGTGGTCTCATTGGCCGGAGACTTTTGCGTACCGAGATAGAGGACCGGGATCAATCCGAGTTCCCGTTAAAGTAGGAAATGCCACTATCTATCGACATAATTTTACACTTTACTTAACGTATATTACTGAAAATTGATAGTACTAAGTACATATGGTGTAAAGACACCATATACGCCCCCAGGAAAACTCTGCTGGCCTAAAAGAGGATCCGGAACGACCGATAAAGTGGCCGCATTATAAAAAATGTCCTAGAACCTTGTGATTTTTTCTATGTTGTTCAGAATCAAGAGATCAAAGCGTATTTCATATGGAAACTATATTTTGGGGTATAGTGGCCATATTCTGGTTCTCCGGATAATCTGGATTGACCGAATACGTGGCCACATTATGAAAATGATCCTAGAACCTTGGGATTTGTTCTATGTTTGTTCAGAATCATGAGATCAAAGCGAATTTAATAAAGAATATCAATTTTGGTGTAAAATGGCCATATCCTGGTTCTCCGGATAATCTGGATTGACCGATGAAGTGGCCAATGGCATTAGCATGGTCCGATCCGACGCTATCGTATCTTACATACTACACCGTTCTAAAAAGTAGTGTAAATTTCTGTTCAGTATGATGCACATAAATGGAGCGTCACATATCATATAAGTTTACATTATATATCATGTAAAGTTCTGATACATTTCATGCAATGTAAGAAATATTGTATACAAACGCCCATATTTGTAAACAACATTGTTTACAAGTTGCTCGGTTGCGTGAAATGAAATTCAAGTTTACGTGAATGAATGTTTACATCACAATTAAAATTCAGAATTTTTATCTGTGTACAATGAAGGTTCGAAAGTAGCATTTGGTAGTAAGGATCGACCAATCGATTCAGCAGAGTTTTTCCTTTGAGAATATGTATAACATGTTGATTACAACCGTTTGGCAGCCGAGATATTCCATTTAGTCGCGGTTTTGTTCATTTTTGCCCACTGTGCGGTGGCTCGTAAAATAGGATTGTCACCTGGTTTTGTCCAAAAATCAAAACAGCGTTTGGGACTGAAGTCGTATAAAGTAAAAACAGTTCCAAATCGCAACGACAAACAGAACTTAACAGCAAAATCAATATATGACGAAGTTTTCATGCGTTCCCGTAGTTGACAAGTCAGGATTTGCATTACGTCGGTACAAAATGCGCTCGCGCACTTGTTTTTAATTCGTCGCCATCTTGAACACTAAACATGGAAGGTAAACACCAATCATAGCCTTTTTCATCATTGACTCCCAGCTATACCTCAGTGAAATTTTTCTAATCCACGCGCAATATTTCAAAAGTTACAGTGATTTGAAGGTTCCGGGATTAATGTGGATACAGACCTTAAACGTTAGGCACGCAAGGTAAAGAAGCTCAGGAATTCTGAGGAAATACCAGTTTAAAAAAAATTCGATCATTCCATTTTATTTTAGAGCTTCAGAGAAGCCTTCAGGAGAATTGCGAGAACTTCATGAAAGTTCCGAGAACAACAGAGAAGATCAGAGAGCAGTTCAATTAACATCAATTCAATTTCAGAAACTAAGGAAATTTCCGAAGGGTTGACGAAAGTTATCCATTCTACATTTCATTTAACGGATTTCAATCTTATTTGCTTCAAAAATTCGATTTTTGTGGATTTCTTCGATTCGTTAAGAATAATAATACGCGCTTGCTGCTATTGTCCGATTTAATCCGCGATTCATCGATAATTTTGAATGAGTCAGAATTATCTAACCGTTCTCTCATTTAAAATTTAGTGTGTATCACGGTATGACTGGCTGTCACTTTCTTTATTGCACTTCGGACCGCTCAGCTAGCCAGCCGCAGCTGATAATTTCAAAAAGTTGTGCGAGAATAACATTAACCCACTCAAATTCTACATTTCCCCAACCATCTACACCAGCAGCACACTCTAAAGCTCTTCGTATGAAGCTCCCAACCAACGAATTTCTTTCATAGGATCTAGACCTCCATTCCTCACTGAATACTTCCGAAATCCAGCCATCGGCCAAAAATCGTTTGCCTTCGCAACCACTTCCACCTTCGACTTGGAACACCTCAAAACCGTGACATTATTGTCTTGTCCTGCTTCCTTTTTTAACTGTTGAATTCGTCTCTATTGAAAACAAAAAATCCTTTGGTTTCTTCCCCCATACGACAGGGAGGCAATGTGAATGTTTCTCCATCAAACCGCTCAAACAGTGGGAGAATAAAAAAGACGACAAATTCACAATGTTTACATCACATCGGACCGCGCCGAGATGCTCTTTCACGGCGTTCTCAAATGCCGTAATCTGTCATGAGATAGTTAGAGATGTGATCCGATATTTTAGAGTTAAGATGGATAAAAACCGATACTATTAATTTTAGAGATTATATAGGATGCAGTGGATTTATTCAGACATGAATTAATTTACCAAACTAAAGATTATTTTTTCACAAAATATGAATAAATCTGGGAGTTTCATCCCCCTCGAAAATTTCTGAAAACTTTAGCTTATTGGAATATTTGAAAATTGCGGAATCTTCGAGTAAGTTCCATAAACATCGGGAAAATGCGAGGACATTTTAACGGAAGTTCCGATAACTTCATGGTAGTTTCGAGAACTTTAGACAAACTGTGGGTACTTCAGATTTTTTAAAAGATGTTTTGAGATATTCACGGAAGTCAAAGGAAATTCACAGAAGGTTAGAAGATTTTGACAAAGAACTTCAGAGCACTTGCATAAAGTTCAGGAAAATTTAAAAAATATCAAGAAATTTCAAGCAATCATGGCAAACTCCGGAAATTTCAAGAATTTTCCGAAAGTTTCTAGAAAATGAAGGGCTACCAGGGAAATTCCATTGATATCAGGACAATTGCCGGAACAAAAAGGAAGTTTTAAGATCTTATTGACAATTTAGGGAACTTCAGGAAGGCACCAAAAACTTCAGGACAGGTCTTAGAACCCAACAATCAATTCAAGCTGCAGATCTGCCTTATGCAACTAAAAACAGGCTTATTCAGCTTTTAGCCTACTCAATTGTATTTTAGCAAGTTTAGCAAAGATTAAAGTTTTTAAAAAATGATCCATGAGCATCAACTATAAGAAAAATTTCGGGAGCTGTAGAGAAGATCAAAGAACTTCAAGACAGTTCAATTAGCTTCAGGCGGGAACTTTTAACAAGTTCTGAGAAATTTAGGAAATAATAGAGAACTTTAGGATAGCATGGAAAAAATTAGGGCCGCTCCAGTAGCTTCAGGGAAGCATCGATATCGTCAGGAAAAATAGGTCTAGACTTTCGGGAATGTTTAAAGATCTTGAGGAATGAATTCTGATTGTTTAAGAGCAGTTCTATGAACTTTGGAGAAATAAGTGGAAATTTTAAAACTGCATTTATTATTTTGTTTTAACTTCAGGATAATAATGGTAACTTTATAGAAGTCCCGGGAATCTAATAGTACGTTCAGACTACAGAGTTATAACATGTTATAGCGCTATCTTGATGGTGGTTTCTGTGTTGCAATTATTTGACAACCGTTATAACTTGTTATAACTCTTCAGTCTGCACAGCGTTTTAGGGAAATTCATAGAACTCTTGTGAAGTTTATTACATTTTAAGAAAATTTGCGGACCTTCGAAGAAGCTCGTAGAACTCCAGAAAAGCTTAGGAAATTATAGGAAAACTCTGAGCTCTTCAGGAAAGTTCCAAAAACTTTGGGATAGTTGCAAAGCTCCAGAAAAGTTCAATGTCATCAGTATTAGAGATGTACAATTCAGTTAAATTTTGCAGAGCGGATCGGAGCTGCTCAGCTCACCAAAAAGAACCGATTCTTTAGAACAGCTCATCAGCTCAGATTGATTTCACTATTATTTTCAAATACTTTTTTTAAAGTGAGAATTATACAAATTTACAGTTTTAGGCTGGTTTATTAAGTTAATATGTAGTTTCTCTTGTATTTGTATTTCTTATAACAGTAGTAAGGTAGATAGAGTTAGTAAAGAATAATCAAAAGTCACGACAAATGGATCAATTTAAACATTGCTGTTGAGAAAAAGGATTTGTTCAATATGCTGTGCCGAGTCAGGATCAGGGTTGGCATGCTCATTTTTTCTCACAAATTGCTCATTAGTTAATAACTCAGCGCTCACTTAAAGCAATATGATTTTTCTAGAAACAACTG